GGTACGATGATAAATTTTCCAGCGCGTGGACTGAAGACGGAACTATCGTTGAGTGCATCGTGAACCAGCTGAATTTCAGCAAAGCCGGGCAAAAATATTAGAATCGAACCTTCATCTGACCATTTCGATACATCAACATCGATAATATACCTTAAAATTGCCTCGATTAATTCGGGATTAATTTTCATTGGATCCATCAGGAACAACGATTTGCACACGGCTCGCGAATAACCTCTGTATCGAGCATACACATCAGATATGCACAAGTTTTCGTCACGAATCGTTTTTGGCGGTTCAGCATTTGATGCCAGCACATCCGCATATTCCAACTCATCAATCAGTTCTTTTTCATCATTCTTGTTCAATTTTCGACAAAACTGTGAGTCTGGCTCAATCACATAACCAGTTCGATCCAAAATATCTTCCAAAAATAGTTGTTCAACGGGGAAAGTGCGGCCGGGAATGTCAAGAACTGGCGCACCACGAAAATAATTGGAGAAAAGTGATGCATTCAATGTAGCCGACATCAGAATAACGCGTAAATTTTTACGCACCTTCAACAGATCTTTCAAAATGGCCAAAAGAAAATCGGATTCTTCGCTTCGTTCGTGCACTTCGTCGATGATGATGTGCGTGACAGTGGATAGCGTTGGGTCGCTCTGTAAACGACGCAATAAAATCCCGGTTGTGCAAAATGTTAAACGAGTCGCTCTCGATATTTTGTTTTCTAAACGAATGGAATAGCCAACAATATTCCCAATTTTCTCGCATCGTTCGGCTGCCACACGCTCTGCAACACCTATCGCTGACAATCGTCTCGGTTGCGTACAAATTATATTTACTGCATCATTTACTGATTTTTTATTTTTCGAAGCACTTTGAAGCTGCGCAAAATAATCATCCAAAATAAATTGTGGAGTTTGGGTACTCTTGCCACAGCCTGGAAAAGCAAACAAAAATCGATTTGTTCAGTAGTACTCAAGCCACATTTTTTTGTCAAAGAAGAGTGCAAAAAAAGGAGAAAGTTGATTGATATTTACCTGTTTCACCCGAAATTACCGTCACCTGTGACGATGCGATCGCATTTAGAATTTTCTCCGACATTTGCCAGGCGGGCAGATTTTTTCGTGATTCCAACATTTGTTTGTAGCTTTCGTTCGATTGGCGTTTTGATAAAAGTGAACATAAACTCAAATCGTCTCGAATCATTTGATTGCCATTCAATTGCATAAATTCTGATCGTCCAGTTGAACCCTTTTTGTAGTGTGATGGTCGTGGCTTGATTTCTTCAACTTCATTTACATTTTCGTCGCCAACATGCAACACCGATTTTTTCGGATCGGGGAATATGTATCGATCGTTTTTCAAAAAGTCCATAATATCCGCTTCATTTTGTAGTAAATCGGCAATTGTAAAAAAACTGGGCATTGCGTCGGCTGCCAAAAGTTGAGCTTCTTCTAAACAGCGGCGAGTTATTCGTAAACACAGCACTTTTGATATGTCCGGACACACTGTTTTCACAGCGATGAATGGCGTTTCATACGGATACAGATTGCTCTTGGGAAATCGAAATTCCAAAAAGAACCAATTCGTGTCTAAATTTGGATCGGCAGATGTTTTATTTGGTTCAAGTTCATGTGAAAATCGACATCGATTTCCATATTTACATTTGCCATTTGCCAGAAAATTTCTACACCGTTCGATTGTTTTCTTCGGGCCGCCGTATCTCTTCTTCTTTTCTTGCTCCTGTTCAAGCAAAGCGCGTTTCTTTTGTTCCGATTCGGAGTAAATGAGCAAGTGATTAACTTTGAATCTAAGCAGCCAGTCTTTGTTGCGTTCTTTTTCTTCAATCACACCCTCATCGTAGATGGATTTCATGGCATCCATTTCGTCTGTGCGCAATTCATTCACTTCATTTTCACTGACATCCGGTCGCGGTTTATCGGTCCTATTGAAAATCGATGGGAAATATTGACGATACAATAATTCAAGCGCCGCTTCAGTATCACCATTACAATGCTCTAGTGCTTCAACACAGTGATTTATATCGAATCCATAACTTTCCAATTTCGATAAATTTTGTATTTTTGATCGATCCGTAATGTGACAGCCGGTTTTTTCTATACGCAACTCTCTTACACTTTGCACAACTAGATTACCACGTTCTTCCCAATATCCTTTGGTTAGCCGTGTGCCCATCTCTTTGTACTTTGATTTTTGGCCCAGTTGAAACGTTTGACCACGGATAAAGCGAAGCGTGTCCATAATTTCCAACTTTGATCCCTCGGACAAACGCACCACCTGCAATTCTGATTTCACGGAAGGCTTCATCGGTTCACTTGCTTTTGGCTCATTCCTAAATATAATACAACATTGTGATATCAACAGTTGAGTCACTTTTTTTCAAGGTTGAGGTTAGGTGATTTTTATTCTTAATAAAAATGATTTTCTTTTTGGAGTATTCCATCAAACACTGTACTTACGTCGAACGGGCATTTGCGATTGGCCGGAGGAAACAATCCTCCAACAATTGTCGGCTCTCATCATCCATAGCAACAACTGTTTTCACCAGCTGAACACACGAATGCAAGTTATTTTCTCTTCAACATACTTTGTTTTGCAACAATGACAGCTCAAATATAAACGTCACACTCGATTCGACAGCCAGCTGTCAGTGGCTAATATTTCGCCGAGAGTGAATTCGCCACTCGTCGCTGGAGATTTGAATTTTCAATCGTTTTTTTTTCTTCCGTTCGTATTATCAGACAATCACGGACTACTTTAGATTAAACCGATTATATCGGTTGGCATGATCAGTGGAGAAATCAATCATAAGAAATATCAAAATGAACACAATTGAGAAGCAGTATCGACATCTATCATTTATTTGTTCTGATATTAAAACACAAAAGGCCGAGATATTGTAGTACGCCACTAGGATACGAGCAAAGTTTGACACATCAAAATCACTGGTTTCGGTATGCAGTTATTAATTTTATTTTGTAATTTTTGCATTTCTTTTCTCTTTCTTGATTTGATTTTTTCAATTAAATATTTTAAATTAAATAGTTTTTTTTAGATGTTTTCTTCATTTGATTATTTCCAGTGCCCAATGCTCAATATTGTGGAATAAAAACGCGATTTTTCACTGATTTTATCAACTTTGCTTACAGGCACAAAAAAAACATGTTGACCATGACGACATGAACTCGATTTATTCCCTGAAAGTCATACCTTCATCGGATACTGGTCACATAAGAGTTCCTTTGAGAAGCTGGATGCGATTTCAGGCTTCAAAGGTCAGCAAAATAATTTTACGAAATGCTCTTAAAATTCGTGAGAAGCAAGAGGTGGAAAAATATCGAGTGGGGCATGAAGAATTTTGGGAGAATGCACATGCACAGGCAAACCTTCTTAGTCGAGTCACAAAAATTGAAAACATTCTGAAAACTGTAGACGCAGCTCTCAAAGCAATTACGGATAAATTAAATGCAAACTGAAACAAAAAATCACGGCTAAAAGACTTGAATATATAAAAAATTACCTATTTTATCAACCATTTTGTTAAGGTTATTTCTACATTTTCTGCTTAAGAATGTCGATCCATTTTCCTTATTATCATTTTATTGACCATTCTGACAATTTTTGTTTTTAATCAATAAAATATTCAATGCAATAACAGGTCTTTCAAAGAAAATAACCAAGAGAAATATAAGAAACACTTCATTTAAAGTAGTAATTACAAAAATAAGCTTTATTCAATATTCTTTCTTAATTTAGAAAGCGATGACAATGTTCCACATATAAAGAGAAGAAGAAATTCTCCATCCAAAAAAATCTTTCCGAACAAAAACTTATAGCACTTGTTTTAAGAAATTTGACTGAGTTTTTGAATTTTTATTTTTCATACACAAAAAGTATTTTTAATAAGGTTATGATTAATTACAATCTAAACGAATTTCTTCCTTCGTTTATTGGTTTAAATAGGTCTTCTGAATAATTTCTATATGATTTATGGCCTAAATTGCTCATTTAATTCGAATGTTAAGTTGTATGTACAAATTGCAGAGCATTACTAGATAAATGGAATGAAAAAAGTTCTCTTTATTTTGATTAAATGTATTTGCATGAGTTGGTTTCTAAACTTGGATGGTCGATGGATTGAATTTCCGTGCACTGCGGAACGAATTTCGACAGGACATTTTGAGTGCGTATAGCTTTGAGTTGGGTACGGCCAGCGTGTAGCGTGGCTCGGGTCGCGGATCCCAAAGAGCGTTTTCAATGACTTCTAATGCGCTGCGCGTTAGAACATCGGCCGAATATTGGGTTGGTGCGTTGGAATCGCCGTTCAGTGCTGAAAACATGAAAAAATCAATTAGAAACAGTTTCAAGACGCTATTTCCAAGGCACTTTTGCAAAATCGTCCACGATTGAAATCATGTGCATTCATGTGCCTTCGAAATAGCAGTCCCATGACAGATGAAAAACAAAAATTGACACATTTCATGATGAAAAGAAGAGAAAAAAGAGTTGAATTTACTGAAGGGAATCGGCGCTTTAAACATTGACTCAGCAATAACACCGCGTGAATCCAAAGCGATGACGTTGATCCCATAAGTTTGAAGTTCAGAACGGAGTGCATCGACACAACCTTCGACAGCAACGCGAGATGCTGTAAATGCAACGAGTCCATCACCAGGATTGCAAGCTCCAAAATAGATTAAGCGACCGTGGGTTGGACGCAACAATCCAATGAACGCTCTGGCTGTACGCAATGAACCCAGCACATTTGTCTTGAACATTGTTTCCCAATGCATTGAATCTTGACTCTCGATGCGGCCGCGTACAACTGAACCAGCCGTATTGATGACTGCCGATATTCCTACAGACAAACAAATAAAAACAAAAGAATTGAGTTAATTTTCCAATCCGTTAGTTGACCTCAAAAAATGTCTACCTCTTTCGCTGGCATTCAAATGAGCGCCAATCGCTTCGGTGGCCTCTTTCAATACATCTTCACGTGTCACATCCAAGCGCATCGGTACAATTGATCCGTGTACGCGGGCAATTGAATTTTCTCTGGCTTTCATCCAACCTCGGAGCAGTTTTGCCGGCAATGAATCGACTGGATCTTTCATACCAGCAAACACACGACAGCCACGACTAGCTAAATGCGTGCATAATTGCAATCCCAAAGCGGTATCGGCGCTGGTAATCAAAATTGAGCCGCCTTGTGGTCCGATTGGTAGTTCACGTGCACCACGTACTTTACATAGCAAATACAAAAGTAAGGCTCCGGCGATGGAAAACAGTGCAATAAGTTGAATGGTTAAAACGAAAATTGTTGCTGGTTCCATCATTCTCTCGGATTATATTGTTGTTATCTCTAAACGACTATTGATTTGATTTGACTCTGATCGATGATAATATAATGGGTGCTTTGCACGAAACGATCTGAAATGAAAACAAAGAGAGGAGAGAAAAAAAAATCGATCGATTAATATCGTGTTACGCATGAAAGGAGCTTTTGAACTCTATATGCAAAGGGCCTTGAACTTAATCGTAATAGTGATTTTCATTCCAATGAATATGCATACGTTCTGTTTTTTAACCCATTTTTCTGTGCAAATTTGTGCATTTATCTGTTAATGTTATTGTTCGTTTTTTTTTTGTGTGTTTCGACTGACTTCTACAACGAATAATCTCTCGAGAAAAAAAAAATCATCATAAAATGCGAAAAAAACACATCTTGCATTTTCAATTAACGTTTTTTGTTCGTGTGCAAATGCACGCGATGTTACTCATCCCATTCATTTGCAACAGCCCATTAACTAAGTAGACGATTTACTCGTTGACTTGAACATCTTCTTTGTTTTGTTGTTTATCTTCGCTCCCACAAATGAAACATGATGTTCAGAAAATGGAAGGTGAGCGAGCGAGCGCGCGCACTCGAAGTGCACTCAAGCGAAATGCAAAGAACGAATCTTCTGTGTATTTGTGTAATATTTAATTGATTTTTTCGCTTTCACACATATTTAGAGCTATTTTGTTTTGTTTACAACCATTTCAAATGTTCAAAATTTCCGAAATTATTTTGCTGGCTACAGACACAAAATTTGAGAGATTTCAATGAATCCGTCCAAAATCATCTCTTACTCCTCCTCCTCTGCATCGTTCGTGTGCTATAAATGACGAAGCACGAAAAAATTGAGTGCTGTTCGCTGAATTCTTGAATCACTGACATTCTTTGCATTGATATCAAAATGACTGACAAGGCATGCATGAATGTAGTACGAGCTAAGTAACGATTTGTTTGCGAATCATTCGTATTATAAACTATTATGTAAATAAATGTGCGCGTCTGCGATGCACGAACTCTATTGTTTTCAGCAAAACAAAAACGAAAAAAAAAACATAAAAAATAAAACTGAAAGTGAGAACAACATTTTACTCATTGCTGACGCTTGTTAAAAAAGCGCAGCACAAAGAAACAAAATGATCACATCCAATTGTTTGTTTCGGTTGTGTGTTTGTGCTGAGGCTATCTATGTTTGGATCGATTATGCGATGTGACGTGATAATATGTTGATAGATTTAATTGCATTTCAAATCGGTTCGTTAGTATCGGTATGGAGTTTTGCTTTTCATTCATAGTGACTGTCAACCGTTTTACATTACAATGCAGGGCATGCTAAAAACAATCGCACACGTTATTTATGTCATTTTGTTTTAGCACAAATCTTCAAGGTTACTGAACTGATAGCATATCTATGAATTTAATTCGAATTAACAACTTTTGATTTTCCATTTCATTTTCTCCCCTTATCTCACTCTGCTGCAGTGTGAACTAGATGGATTTCGGAAAGTGACTTTGATTTACATAACGCATACAATTTTCTCATAAACAACCGTCAAAATTTGACTTTCTTTTCTCATCACTGCGCTGGCTGAGTGTAATTACGCCGTTTGTGACCGAATAAAAAAATAGTAGAAAAAAAAAACAAAATTTGCAGACATTTTTTTTCTTTTGACAATTTAATAGGACTGTTAACATGTCATTATAAATATTCCGTAACACTGTTCCGACCGAAAACTGGTTTGATTCAGTCATTTGTCTCTTAAGAAAACGCACCGCCAAAAAATAAATCTCACCGAACGGCTCATAAACTGCGCACTTGAGTCAGCAACAAGATTTTCCGGTGAATTTTTCTCGGTCATTTGAATGTTTTGAAGTGTGAAAGTCGGCAATGAGTTAACGTTCATTCATTCAGAAAAAAACGCTTTTAACGCTGGAATGTGTCGCTTAAATGACAATTCATTTACATTTTACAACTTTAATACAATTTGCCAAAGATGGCCTAGTCGATAGTGAGCAAATCGACTATTTTTCCGTCGGTTAAAAGGTGATGTATTGAGTGTTCTATCATTTTCTCGAAATTCTTCCATATAGATAATGCATAGCCGTTATGATCAGGGAGTGTAACTCCGAGGAGGAGGAATGGTGAGGATGTGAATGAGGAGGAGTAGTGCGCTGAGGAGGTTCCTCCTCCTCACATGAGGAGGAAATAAAAATTACCAAAATTGAGGCATATAAATTTATTTTAAACACTTTTATTGATTTGGAACGGATGCCAACGATAAAAAAACTACGATCAACATCAATAGAAGTGTTTAAAATAAATTTATATGCCTCAATTTTGGTAATTTTTATTTCCTCCTCATGTGAGGAGGAGGAACCTCCTCAGCGCTCTCCACCTCCTCATTCACCTCCTCACCATTCCTCCTCCTCGGAGTTACACTCCCTGGTTATGATTTACATTTTAATCTAACTGTTTTGAGTTCTGAATTTTGTTGATAAAACACAAAAGATGACAAAGCGGCCTATGTTTCATTCCAACACGAATAACGTGACTACTGTCAACAACAAAAAAACAACAACAAAAGCAAGACCTTAGATAGAATCAACATCGACCACCCGACTTGAGTAAGCACTTCATTATGCTGAGGTCATTCATTATAATTCGTTTATGGAAATAAAGAAAAACGGTTGCGCTAGAAGAAGAATAATCTAATGATTTGTTCGACTCAATCGAATGAATGAGCAGAAAATGGAAAGCGTTGCACAAACGAGAGCCGAACGGCAGGTTCCATTCTTTTCAATTCTAAATGCATTATTCAAGCGATGGCTTACTTTCGATGATGATGGAGCAGCGCGGTCGGAGCAAGAATAATAGTTAAACGGAGAAGGAAATTTCGCAATGAACCGTACTAAAATAAATTAGATAGTAATTTTCTGGAACGCACCGAGCTACGAGCTTGAATTTTTCGTGATGATCATAATGAAAAACAAGTCACATTTTCTCAAGCAATGAACAGCCATTTTATGGGCAAATCGGAATTGTTTAACCGGTATTCTGAAATGTGCCGTAATTCATGCTTATATTTCATTTGTGCGCGTGCGTTCGTCGGAAAAAGTAATCCGAATGACCGTATAGCGGTGCATTTATAGCATATACCAAAACGATTCTTTTCTTCTTCTTCTTCTTTTTTCTTTCCGAATGCACTATCATTTCATGCTCAGCCGTTTGCTCTCTCTTACGTAATTCAATGGCCGTCTCGATAGTTCTTCTGCTTGCAAATATTGCATCAGCCATGGACAAGCTAGCCGATACGCTATTTTAATGGTCTTTTTTTCTCTTTAGAAATGCAATCTTCAACGCAAAGCTATAATTTTAATCGTTTCAACTCAACGCCCTGATTGTTTCTGATTTCGAGAAGTAAATTGCATGCGATGGGACATTTGCCGATAAATTGAGATATTGTCAATTCCAAGTTGATTTACGAGAAAAATTCAATTCAAACACGATCTATTACACCGATTTTTTACGAGGTGTGCAATGTGCATATGTGTTTTTTTATGACGCATTTAATAACGGAACTTTGTCGAAGATTTGTGTGACTGCCGCAGCGGAAAAAGTTGTTTGTCGATAAACTCGATTGTGTGTTTGCGGTTTTTTTGGGAGATTGCAACAAATGCACAACGAGGGAAATGTAACCGATGCACAGAGCGCCAACAATGACGTCAACTTATGAAAGTGTGTGCACGAGACTGGCACATACGACTGTTTATAAAATAATATTAATTAAGACCGTACACATAAGCTTGATTCAGGTAACATTTACGCTTTGTTGAGCTCATTTTTTTGCCTTTTAGTTTGTTTGTTAGTTTTTCTTGTTTAAACTCGCATTTCGTTCGCTTTTTTGGTCACAATACATCCAAAAAAAACTTTCTTGCAATCAAGACAGAATCGAAAACAGCAAGGAAAATTGATGAATTATTTATGCATCTATTTTCTATCGAGTAAAATATTTCAATTCGGATTTTCGTTTTGGGCCTCGTTAACAAATCTTTAAGAAAAACGAATTTGTGTCTTGCAATGAAAGTATTTTCTTTTTTTGTTTTCATGAGAAAATAATTCGTCGATTGAAGAAAAAAAGAGTTGCACGCGACTGGGAAGTGAAAATTTCGATTGGCCGATCGATTGGTGAGAGCTGTTGGTCACGAAACTTCATCTTCGTGATTGGTTTGGAAAGCAAACGTCAAACATGATTGCGGCGATTCGTTTTCGAAATGAAATTTAAAAAAAAAAAACGTTGCAAAAAAGTGTTGTTGTTTACGTCGTTCAATTGGCAAAAAAGGTGACAATGTAAATGGTACGGTTTATGTTATTTAATAAAATCAATCACAAATTAATAAGCCAACAGAAAAAGAAACATACATCAGGTTCGAAAAACGCGAACACGAACATTGCGTAAGGAGGGCACATATCAAAGCAAAAGTGCAGTTGCCAATGGCAAAAAGTGGCAACTGTGAATGGAACGAGATCAATATCAAACGTTGTCAAGCTTTAAAACCATCTAATTACATTAGTTTGCCAGCGATATTATTGACTTTATCCATGCATTAAATCTTGACATCAACAAGTGCAAACGAACTTAATTTGGTTAAGACCTGAATGCGCTCACATTTCGGTCCGTTTTTTTTTTGGATTATTATGAAATGGTTGCCATTTTATGAGTTTGCGAGTCATTCAATCAGCCGATATGCATGAACTGAGTCAGACCTCCTTCGCTGAATTCGCATGTGAAAGAGCCGTTAAGCAAAAGGTACCTAGCAACATGGCAACTTTTTTACTTGGCTTACACAAATCAAAAGCAATTTTCAGACACATAATCTAATAGCAAAGAAAAAGGAACGTACTTATGGCTTAATTAAAACGCAATATTTTAATAATATTTCAACAACATTTGCCATTCGACAATGGCAAACACACTTCACATTTTGCCATTCCGGGCCCGAATTTATCTCTGCAAAATGAACGACTACAAACAAATGGCGTTTGTTTTTCTTCGTTCCTTTCGATGTTTATGTATATTTCGCATGGCATAAAATTCAGTGATTATGGCAATTATTTCATATTCATTCCGCCAAATCTTCATTTGAAGAATTTCCGTTTCATTGCAAAAAACAACAAGATTCGAAACGTCGAATGAGTGTTGTTTAACATTTCATTTGAATGTGTACAATTTCGTCAAATTCATTCCATTCTCAAGTCTCTCGTCGCTATTCATACGTTCATTGATCGAGAGGTGGTATGTATAATTTCCAAGCGATTAATTGCAAACGGCAAATTTCATTTGAATTATTTCTTTTTTTCTCTCTTCAATGATTCAATCCAGAAGTACAATTTTTTTTAAATACTTATGATGAATGCGATGTTACACACACCTCGCGCGCGTCGGATGGGTGTGAAAGGGCATGTGTATCGATGGAAAAAAAGTTGTTGTAATAAAAAAAACACATCCCATTGAACTTGGTTTCGGTGAATATCAAAGGTGTCTGATCCAACCTGTCAAATGTAAAAAGCGAAAAATCAAAGTCGGCATTGTGTGTTTTAGCGGTAAAGTCTCACTTCAATTCAATCATAACTCACACATGCCGAGCGCAATTATCACACACTCACAACGTCATTGTTCGAATAATACCAAATAATTGAAGCAATTTGGAGCAAATCTCGAATCAATTGTGTATTGAAATTGAAGTCTTTTTTCGTGTCGAAATCCATTCAAACGAAATCCCTTTTTTAAATGGATGGAATGGTGTCTAAATAGATGACCTCTGCTAAACTTCAATATCAAACCCAAAAATTCCATCTTAATTAGTCATACCTCTCGAGAAGAAATTCTTCGCATGTCAAATGAAATTAATGCCTTTTGATGGCTTGGCACTTTTTTCTTCTCTTCAATTTCCGTAGAATTTCATGCGCGAAAACAATGTACGTGTATAATTTGAATTCATTCGCAAAATGAAGCTTCCAAAAATTATGACTAAGCGATTTGTTTCAAGATGCGAAAAAAAACTGAATTGGCTAAATAGGGTCTGAAGATGATTTATTTGCCTTGAACTTCATATTTCACTTCTTCCAGTTGAAATGTTCATTTAAATGGCAGAACATTGTGTTTTCGTTTAAAACTCTTTTATTACATTTTTGTGTTTCTGGTCCAATAAGAATGAATATAATGTGAGAAGAAATCAGTTTGAGTGACGGTTCGTTAAGAATACACGGTAGGCATACAGTATTAAAGTATGAAAGTCTAATTTTCGGCACTAAAACCACTTAAAGCGGCTATTCTATTCGATAAGATACGAAAATGACAGTTTCAAAAAGAAACGAAGAAAAAAATTCTCAAAACAATGATCGCAAACGATTTGATTGTGACTGTTTGAAAGCCATTGTTTGCAACACCAAGCCTTCTTTTCGTGTTCTTGTGAAAAAGCAGAAATAATACATCAAACCGATTTAAGTTGAAGCGTTTAGCTTGGAGCTGGCCAAGATCGACGTGTTCGTAATGGCATTATGACAAAATAATGATCGAAATGTTGAAACGAGCGTGAGGCGAAAGAATCGAAATCATTGTAATTACGCTTGGAGATAATTATACCGGTTTCATTCGGTTGATTTCAATTGATTGTTGTTTTGTTTCTTCATTTTACTTTGCCGTCTATGTACCCGAGCTTTGGACAACAAAAACGAAACTGTGCTGTGTAACTTAGAAAAATAAAGCAACGACTACATTCAAAGCGATAATTATCGCATTTCCGAAAGGGAAAAAACCACACATACACGTATATACAGAGAGCAAAAACTTTGTGCCGTAGCACACAAAGATGTTTTTTTTATTCGAAACGGAAATTTTAAGGCGTGGATTCATTTCTTGAAATGATAAAAATGGTTAGCAGTCAAACGTCTCTATGGAATACTTATGCCAAATGTGCAACGATGCGTGAAATTTGGCAAATTACTCTTTTTTGCATTCTTTGAACTAAGAACTTTGTTAATAGAGACTCTTGCTTTTGCTTTCCGCAGTGTGAATATGAACGCGAAGTTGTTTCTTTCCATTCGCTGAATTCTTGTTCTATCTCATTTTCGGCTAATTATTTTCGCTTTCAACATTAAACCCATTTCTCAGAGTTGTTGTTTTTTGTCGGATTTCTTCCCAACATTTCAAGATGCAAAAAAACAAACTGAATTTTCTCAAGATTCTGTCTTGCGCTTGGCATTTCGCGAAGCTGTTTCAGTGACACAGTTTCAAGATGTCGAGAGTGTAAAAGTGCAGTTTTGCATGCAAATCTGCGCAATGTGTTTCTTTTTTCTTTTCAAGTGTTGTTCGACTTCGATTATGGAATTCGTGTTCAGTGAAATCACCTTTACTTGTTGTACTGAATCAACTTTTAAGTCGAATTTTTCATAAATGCAGATTTCATTCATATCTCGACACACTGGAATGTGATTGTTGCTAGCAACGAACGTCCGCACACAATCGTACGCTACATTTAATGCCAATCTCGTGTGCATTTTAATCAACATATTCTCCATATTCAAATCGGCGGCTGTGGTTTTTTTCTTCTTCTTCTTTATATCTATCCAAGTGAATTTTTCCTTCCTATAAATCCAGCCACCGACGCCGCCGCCCTCTTTTCTTAACCATATAATGCCGTATCTAATGCTTCAAGATATTAAAGAAAATCATTTGCGAATCGCGCGCAAACCGTACTTATGGGCAAACAAACTTTCTTCGCTATGAGTCGATTACATATTTGCTAGACTGGATGGGCTGTTTATTCGACTTGAAATGTGCATTTCTATCGACCATAAGTGGCCTCTCGAGTGAAACTTTTCCAATTCAAACGATACCACTAACCATAGCGATATATCTAGTACCGGGTATGCATACAGATTTTATGGCACGATTGTTTTTTGCTCGATGTGAAACGCCCTGAAATCTTCACGTAGACAAGCCATTGGTTTCGGTGAACATCTGCAAGCTTTTCCGCAATCATCAGTCTTCAATGTATATTGATCGATTTCAATTTAGATGGAATTCAATTTCCGAATTGATTTGTTTATTTACGTATAAATCGAGTGTATACACTCGTAATGTAATTTGAATGTTGATTTGTTTGTGGCTTATGGCTCTCTTTCTCTCTGTCTGTCTGTGTGTATATGTTTTTGGTTTCTGTTTTAACGAATGGAGAACGTGTGTTTTCATTAATTGATTATTAGCAATGATAAACAGATAAAAGACGAGGCAAATGGAAAGAAAACCAAACAACAAACCAAACGGAAATTAATTTAACAAACAAAAGTCTAGTTCGATTCGAAATGAAAACGAAATGAAATGCGGAAATTGATTATCATGACATCGGTGGAAATAACGAAAGAAAAAAGGTCTAAATCGCATGTGGTCATCGATGAAATACGATCAAAATCAAATCGACGTATAGCTTTGGTGGATATCATTAAAAAAAAACGAACGTCTTCAGTGAATGTTTCCGATAATGTGTTTTTTTCGGCCGTAATTATATGTGCATTTTATATTATTACGGAAAACAAAGGAATTTCTATAAAATGTATTCATCATCAAAAATCAAATCGACATTAGAAATGGAAAGATGAATAAAAAAAAGAAACGATCAAAATACACTATGGTTAAATGGTCTCGTATGTCTATATAAATTAAGGTAAATCGACATTCGAGAAAAAGAGAAATCGCGACACGAACACAGAAAAAAGGCAGCAGCAGCAGCAGCAGCAGCGATCGTATGTGAAGAAATGGTATGTGGTTACAATGCGCCGATAGTCGCAAATTGCAGACTTGTCATTGTGTTTTGTTCATCGGTAAAATGCACGAACAAAAGACACAATCAAAACCATAATTGATGTTGATTTTGTTTCATCAAATTGAATCAGTTCAGTTCAGTTGAATTTAAAAGTAAATTGTTGAATATTTGTTCATTCTTTTTGATCGAGGAACGAAAACAACGATAATAATACTGTCGAGGTAGCTAAACCCATGTTTTAATAGGTCACACGAGATCAATGAATGTGTTTTTTTGCGTATGCTTTGATCATGCTAATGTCTTAGTCTCGCATACCGTCGAATTGGTAAACCGTTAAGCCTCGTATCGAAAAGCGTATTTGAATATGGTTTTAACAAACGATCGCAAGATAAAATGTTTATACAAAAAATTTGCTTTTATCATTTTAAGTTTCCGTTCGGAATTTCGTTGTTTTTCAGCATTGATTTTGTGCTGCTCATCGCATTGATAACATTGATCATGTGTGTTAGGTTGCTTAATCGTAGAAATAGTAACTTTGAAAAAGACCGTTGCTAATGAATATAATTATGTAGTTAAAAGAGTCCCTATTTGTCTAGAAATTCGCGATAAACCGTTGGGTAACATTTCATTGATGATATAACGCATTTAGAAAGCAATTTATTGCCATTCCATGTTTTTATACATCTCATTTTGTCACCGAACTGTTATCAACGAGCAACATCCACATGAATCGGGTTGCAGTGCATTGAACTTACCATTGAATGTGTGATTTGTGTGCAATTATCCAAAAGGTGTGACCCCAATGATAGAAAATAGTTGGTGGCAAAAATGCCAATTATAATAGCTGAAGATTATAACGCTGCTTAATTGGCGCACAAGATTTCAATAAACTCCGTACCACTCAATTAAAATCGTTTATTTTTTCTTTCCGCCGCACGAAAAATCGATGAATCAAATGCCCATATAAAAATGCACTGCCAACTCAACGAGCGAAAAAAAATGTGTTCATGTATCTTCACTCAATTTCGGCTGTGTGATCACCGTTAAATGTCATTAGTGTTCACCTTCGCGATCATAAATGCGCACACATTCAACGTATAATATTATGTGTATATTATTTATCGTCCGTCTTTTAAATGGCCTGGGCGTTAGAAAATATTCACATTCAAAATGGAATTTATAATGATGAGCAAATAAAGCTGCCGAAAAAAAACACCACGTTTCGTTCACTTTTCACCAAGCTTCTTCTGTTGCTTTATTGAAATGGCGCAGTTCTGTTCCTCTTTTTTTTTTCAGAATGTATCACTAAGTCACACTATTTAGCATTCAATATTCGTTTTGTTTAAAAAATCGACATATTAAGCATTCGTAGCGCGTGAACGTGAAGAAGAATAAACATGTTTTTCAAATTATCACACATGCCAAATACCAAAAATGGTCTTTCGTCTTCTCTCTCATGCGAATAGGCAAATTAGAGATGAACAGAGCGAGAATGGGTTTTGTGCTTTATTTGAGAGTATGACATCAAAAATCGACGTATTCTGCGATAAGTGAACTCATTTGCGTTATATCTATATACGTATGACTGCACCTTAAAATTGTGTGTTTATTTTCGTATTCAGCAAATATTATTACGTTTTTTTCTGTTATTGTTGGCTCTTTATTTTTCTTTACTCCGGGCCATAAACTGCGGCAATATTTAACGACTTAAGCCAAACAAGTCTCTTTTCTATACACACTGAGTCTCTTTTTGTGTGGCACAGCTACTTATTTTCGTCGTGTCAATGAATTCAATTAGCAGCCTACACTCGTAAGAAAAATGTGTTTTTCTTTTAGGTTTTGCTTTCAAACAGTCCTTTATTGCATCCGCCAACAGTTCAGCTGCACTTTAACGCAAACCAACGATTACGAACGGCGTTTTCACCACAATAATTCCAAAAATTTAGCGTTTATGAAACTGTTTTTTTTTTATTTTGCACCGCACTGATCTCGTATGACGTTGCCGAGATATTGTGGCGACCCGATAACGAAATCTTAATTCACTTGTGGCACAGTATTCAACTGAATGATCTTTCCATTGAAGAAAGCACAACGTGCATACAGTATGATGATGAATAAACCAAACATGGGCCTAAGCACAACAACAAAGTCAGTGTAATATAAAACAACTTGATTGATCTTTACTCTTCGGTTGAAGAAAGAAAGATGAAGAGAAAAAAAATTCACAAAAACGACGGCGCGAGACAAGCGTTTCACGGCACAGCGTTTATCGGTCCGTTCGCTATGAGCATATTTTTATAACTGACTCGTTTTGAGCGTTTCATAAAAGTCGATTGTCGAGTTTGTTGGGCTTGTGCTCTCCCAATGCAACACAGCGCTATTTGCCAGCACAGCGACACAGCACACACACACACATACACGCACGCTTATACTCACACACGGCGTCGATGTTCGTATCAAACTCAAGCTGGTTCATACTTTGAATTTCTTAACAATCTGATTTGTTTTTTTTACAGCTTGCTTCAACATGAATGCCGACTCCATCGACATGGTACGAAAGGTACGATACTTTGGCTATTTTGGACGTAATGTACTGCTGGTGTGTGCTTCGGTTATGTTGTTTTTGTTCCTCTTTTTTTTTGTTTTTTACAACGCGCAGCTGCTTCTTTGCTATGCTGCGATTCGTTTTATGTTCATTTCTTATGGGCAAACACGAAAAACCGATCAAAGCGCAGCGAAAAAAAGAAATTTGCTTAGCGCGAAAGACACAACACACAAAAATTCAACCGCGTGCACGCGGTATGGACGCGCTTATCAACGATATTTATACTGTACAGCACATACCGAGTCTCGCATTTATGGTTTTCTGCATTACGGCAGATAAAATAATTTTTGCTTCGTTCATATTTGAAATTTAAATTACACAATTACAGTGTATAGCCAGGCCGAGAGTCTGAAATCGCATTCAGAGCATTGAAAAGGTGCGCGCACCGCACAAATTCACTTCAAACGCGCAAACGGTTATGATCGTGTTTGTCACGTTCAACATATTATTTTCTTTCCTATGATGGTGAAAACTCACTCAATAGATTGAAAATATATATAAATAAGCAGATGCACTGGATCGAGTGCATGAAACAGGTTTCGTACCTTCGGAGAGCATATGCAAACATTGAAATGACGACAACTGCGGGTTTCTTCTTTTGTTTTTTTTTTTTTCGATTAGAGCCAACTTAAGCATGACGACTTGGCTTGGCACAAATGTGAATGCGTTTCCATTTGAAGCAACGCGGATCTTTCACCAGCACGAGAAGAGAGAAAACAAACACACACTCACACACAAATACCAATCATCTTCCAATGAACTTTTCAATGGCATTTCAAAAAGCGAAGAACCTCGAAATTGATATCGACCGAGTTCATTCAAAACAAACACCAACATTTGAATGCATCGACTGTTTTTGATTCAAAACTGGAGGAGGCACAAGCACATTCAACCATGAGAATAGAATCGAAAAGAGAAACATCCGAAGAATTATCGCCTACCTGTTTGAAAGTTTTCGTTATGAATCAAACTGTGGAGATCTAATCATGCGATTGACACAGATAATTTTTTTTTCTACTTCCCTTCCGAACAAAGCCGCACACTAATCACTTTCATTTGTTTATTTTCTAATAACTTTGCCTATATCGTGAACAGAGAGAGAAAAAAAAAGCCTTGGAAAAAGCGTCAACATATTTATATTAAAAATTCATAAAATCAATCAATGCTGCGTACTGTCATTTAATTGGATAGAGAAAAACAAACGAGAATGTGAATGGGCTTTGGTTTGGCTTGGTTGGGTTTCATTTGAAATTTAGATGGAGCATAGGCAAACACCAATCAATTCACATCGAGGTTTTTTTTTCTATTCCCCACACGAAATGTGTGTAAGCTTACTACATATTCAAAGTGTTACTCAAGCTAAGTGAGTGACTTCAATGCGTGAATGTGCTTGTCATGAAAAAAAAAAGATTGCGAATATCATTTATTCATAACTTTGCATGCGAATGCGGTGACTATCAACAGCTTATAAACGCCAGGTTTTTTTTTCTGCAGTTGATTACATTCTCGCCGAATAAATAAGCGATCAAGTTAGAGGGATCCAACTGGTTTCGTTTGCAACCAAATCCGATCTGCATATTAAACACACAATCGATTGGATAGCATCAACATCGATTGCAAATCGCTACAGTCCGATCGATATCATGAAACACGCACAGCGTGAAACAATTTATAGGCAATTTTCTTGCCATTTTACGGCCAGCGTATCTATTTATGCTTTGAAATTTGTCAAACCAAGTGATCGTTTCACATTTTTACTGACAGATTTTGTATGTTCCTGATGCGTCAAGGACTTGTAAAGATAAGAAAAAGAGACAATCGAAAGCCGTTGCCATTTAAGTGATGTAAAAAAACACGAACTTGACTCACCGAACTGGTAGCTTTTTTTTTCTCAATCTGGATTTTACATTTACTATCAATACAAAAAGTGTTCGCCGTTCCCGCATTGTAATTAAAATTGTTTTCGTGTCGGATCGTGCATTAATCATCATTAGACGCGTTCGATCCAGTTTTCAGTTTTCAATTCATTCGTTTACAAAGCGATGTCACATCGATGTACACAATCGTATTATTTACACTATATTTATTTGCTTTGGAATAATATGGATCGGTTTTGTTCGTACACTCGATGCTTGGCATCTCATCGAAATCGCATTATATTCCCAATGCCAGTGCAAAGTGAGAGAGAGAGAGAAGAGAAAAAATTAATAACAAAATCACGTACACTAAGTTTATTTTGTTTTGTTCGTGCCAATGGTGCTACAAATACCAGTGGCCACTTAAACTGATTGCTTCGCTTCTTTTTGCCTTCTCTCTTTTCTTCGTTCGTATTCAAATGGCAGTTATCTTGGTCGTTCGAACGACGAGAGCAAAAAAAAAAGAAGGCAAAACGGCGTGCAATGCATTGAGTCATTGTTTATTGAATACGACGAAACACACACGAAAGTGCAGAATATGTGAGCGCATGTTTTCGATTTGAGTGTCGTATTTTTTTCTTCACTTCATTTTTCGTTGGTTAAATTAAGGCATGTGTACACGTATTCGTATCAACTGGAGATTATCGAAATATTTTGTGCTCGGTATACGCTGCTTTGTTTACCGTGATGGATAAACTGGTGGTAATATGCGAGAGTAAGCGATACATAACTATGCATGCGCTTCGCGCGTTTTGCTTTTGGCCCGAAGAGAAAGTTAAGCCGTTATCCGTATTTGGACGATTCGGCAAGATATTTGACCAAATATTTGCATTTGCACACAATTGCTGCATACCGTTGCGGCCAAACATTTAGGTGTTATGGTGTTTTTGAACTCTATTCACATGTGGATTAGTCATAGAGGTCCTAACGGATTTGACTTTTGTTGCCCTCCAAAAAGCGGATCGATTTGAACTCAACTAAATAAAGTTCAACTGAAATAGATTTGCCGCTTGAAATGAAACTTAGCATACCTTTGCGAATTATTTTCGTGCTTTTCGCATACGAATTTCGAAAATGTGAGCGAAATGGATTCTTATAACAATAATCATGCAAACACACACACACACCGCGAATTTGTTACAAATGATATGGTCGTGTTGCGATACACGATTGCACTACATTCGGGTGAAACGAGACCAAGATCCGCAGCAATTCAACGCGCACTGCAGATATGTTGCTGCCATTGGCATCGATACTGCCACCGTTTTTGCGTGGTTAGAAAATGTTCTCACAGAAACCTTCTGCACATCGGACGTAAGTAGAACTGAACCGCATACATGCATTTATAAATATTCATGTAAACATAGTGTAACGAAACCACTGGTTTTCTTTCCGACCATTTTTTTCCGCGCAATGAGAACGATGTGCAGCCTCAACTCGCTGCCTCTGCAAAGTTCTACTTTTATTTTTCACGTTGTTACATTGACACTTTTTCTTCGTTCATCTTTATGCGTTTTTCTTCCATGCTAATTGGCATTCATTCATAAACTGAACCCATATTACAAATGGAGCCTATCAATGGCGTGTGTTCATTATAAATACGAATAATTTTTTATTTTTTTAGATGAATCTATGTAAATCTGAACGATTCAGCTTACAGACGATATAAATCAGCTCATCAAAGAGAATGCTTTCGATTTCATTGGACAAGATGTAAGAGTTGATATCATTCCTTCAATCATATCTAATTTAAAAAATTTTTTGGATAAAAATACTCTTATTTCCATTCGAAAGGAATTCATTAGCCAATGAAGACTAATATTGATAAATATCGCGAGCAATTTTTTGCATGTTGAATTTCTCTATAGCAAATCAAGGGGAGAGACACCAACGCTAGTTTCACTAATTTATTCTATTGTTTCCTAATATATGCTATTTTTGCTAGTTTCTCTCAATAAAAGTGCTATTTTTTGCTAATATTTCCTATGTGCAACGTGACAGTTTGACAGTTCACGTACAAGTAACACTCATCAAGTTATTGTTGTATGTTTGGAAAGAAAGCAAAAAAATTATATTTTTAAATTGTTCCATTTAATTTCATAAAATAACTCGAAAACTTTGTTTTAAACGGTTAAAAACAGTAAATAAGAAATCGCTATTTCTTCAATAATATTGCTATTTTTGCTATTTTCCTCTAGTATTTATATGAACTTCAAAAAAATAGCTAATGGTGTCTCTCCCCATGTAGCAAATCGAACAAATTTTGTTAACCATTTTGTTGCGCAACATTAGCTCTGTTGAACAAATATCATAAGATGAAACATGCAAAAACAAAACTGCAACTTATCACATGTTAAATTTGTTTCCGTTGTTCATTCAATCGTTGCATGCATTTTCATGAGCTTGATGCGTATCAAAAACATATAATCAAATCTGTTTTTGAATTTGTTAAACAACCTGAAATCGCGGTTTTCTTTCAATTTGATGCGTTGCTTATTTCGATACCGGATCTTCACATAGCCGATGTGTGTGTGTGTGTGTGTGTGCGTTTAGTCTATTTTCTCACTTTTCGTTGAAATTCACAATTAGAGGAAAACAAAACACTTCATGTCGGTGCGAGAGATGCATAATTTAATTACTTTCAAATAATGTGTGCGATGTTGAATGCGTTCGCAATAGCAGATTCGATGATGGTTTTTCCAGTCGTTTTTTTTGTGTGCGGTTCTGATAAATCTGCTCGTTCGTTTTCATTGTGGTCAAAACGTGCATTTTGCACAATTTA